CATACTCTACAGACTAGGGATGTGCATCTCCCTCACTGAGGCCGATGCCATGCGCATCTCGATACGTTGCCACGATACGATACATTAACGATACATTTGAAACACCAGGCGATGCGATACGATACGATTCACCCCTGTTGCGATACAGTTCGATACGATTTGATTCAACATTATGCGATACGGTGCGATCATAGACTGTATATATAAAGGGTGCGATACGATGCGATTCAACACGATGCAAAAATAATGATACTTCAATATGGTACGACAGAGGATTTTTGTTTTATTCCTCATATGCAGCAAATCATACATTAACAAAAAAGTGCTTTTGGTTCTCTCTGCTAGTGCATCCCATCATGCCGTTTATTTTTTACCTTTAAAAACTCTGCAGAGTAAAGTACAATGTTATAACACCTCACAGTTAAACAATGTAAGGATGCATTGCTCATGATTAACAATGTGCAAATAACAGCTACCATAGTGCAACTGCCAGCCTGATGTGCTTACCACTCATCCATAGGCTAACTCACCAGTGAGCAGAAAGCAGTGGTTTCTATATGAACAATAAAGAATACAAATAACCTTTCACAAACAGGTCTTTCATAACTGCTTACAGTAAGGAAGACATTTAAAGTATTATTGGCCGTCACAGGCTGCTATTAAACTAAACACCACTCTCTCTGACAGAACACCTCACTGAGTGATTTAACTCATATATCTAACTTTCAGGTTTCTCTTTTCAGCCGCAGACCCCATGTCGCCTCTTTATGTGCGTCGCTAAGTTCCTCGTACTACTTGTGTACTTTAAAGCGGCTCGGCATCGTTTACAATTTGCGAGCGATTTGTGAAGTTGACCGTCTTTCTTGAGAAATCCAAAGTGTTGCCAAACGTTTGATTTGTAGGTATTTTTCGGTGCGCTGTGTTTCTCTTTCTCCTCGACTTCCATGTGTGTTGATCACTGAGACTCTCGGCCTCCGTAGTGCGAAGCAAAGATCAGAGATCGTCTCTGCTGAGTGCTGACAGGATGAGACGATATTATATGAATGAATCGTTTGTTTACCGATGCAAAGACGCTACAATCGATGCATCGCGAGTTCAACCCAAACTGTAGCCGATGTGCACTCTTTCAACCGGTGCAGTCGCATCTTCAACGTTTATGCTGGTGCACCGATGTGAATCGGTGAATCTTAACATCCCTAGTACAGACACACCACAACACACCTGCACATACAGAACATGTTTATCCACTAAAGAGGCATGTCATCTGAAAAGTGATACATTCCATCTTTATTTGATGATATCTGCTTTCATTTGTTGCTTTGCGTTGCAGTCTTTAGTATCTGAATCTTGCTTGTGCTCGTAATCGTCAAATTTCAGAACACAAGATCCCCACCAGGTTTTAAGATTCCAATTTTTTACATATCACAAAAGGCCTTTAAACAAATTCTGAATCAAATTGTTATTGGACTGCTTTGCTCTTTCTTTGCTGCACAAGGATGAAAACAATAAACTCCATAATAAATTGACTAGGGCTATTTGGCAATTGCATTGAAATAAAGAGGAAACAGATGATTCCTTGAAAATGCATTTTAGCAACTCACATACACCTTGAGTCTGTGCAGGCAGAACTTTTTCCATATCCAGTGCACGTATGAAGTATAACGTGTGTATATGAAATAAAGGAAAATAAATAAGCATCCGAAACGTAATCCAGTGTTGAGTTACAGCTCCTCTCAGTGCATATCGTCATAAAGTCATTTTCACCGTCCTGATGGCACCACCCTATACACAGATTTTCCTGTAAGAATACATTCTCTGCCCCCCACCACCTCTCGGTCCTCCTGCGACACTCACCCCTTCTCCTCCTCTTTCCCCCATCGCTCTTCTTCACACGGCTGCCGTGGCAACAGAGGGTGGGGACGAGGAGGAATGAGTAGAGGAGAGAGACACAGTGACAGAGAGAGAGAGGGAAATAAATAGAGAGAGCAGAAGATTGGTGAAGATGAGATTGGAGAGTGTGTGTGTGTGTGTGTGTGTGTGTGTGTGTGTGTGTGTGTGTGTGTGGTTGCATAATCCCACTTCAGCCAATGATTGAAGCAGGCTTAAAGTGAATCCAATTGTATGACAATAGTCACACTCATGTGAAACTGTACTTTGCTTCTCTGTAAACTCATCACACAATCACTCGTCTCTCTGGGTGTCTGTCTCTTTGTATTTCAGTGTCTGTGTGTGTGTGTGTGTGTGTGTGTGTGTGTGTGTGTGTGTGTGTGTGTGTGTGTGTGTGTGTGTGTGTGTGTGTGTGTGTGTGTGTGTGTGTGTGTGTGTGTGTGTGTGTGTGTGTGTGTGTGTGTGTGTGTGTGTGTGTGTGTGGTAAAGGGCAAACACTAAGCAAATTCAAGCTGAAATCCGTCTGCATGTGAGGATCAACTCTTGTATCAATATCTCTATCACAATCAGTCACATGACCCCTCAAACACATTGGAGTTAAACACACTGCTGGAAACAGGAGAGTATAGCTTTCCAATTATATCCTTATTGTGTTTGTTCTCCAAATATTCAACAAATATGTCACATAACTGGAGATGGAAGATGTAAGAGAAACTTCTGTGTAGCAATGCAGTGGGAGTCACCGACTCAGGAAGGAGACACGGTGGAGCAGGAGCTTTTGATGTCAAACACTGGAGGTTTATTTGTAGTTACGGCCGGAGAGTTCACATCACAAATCACAGCAGTCACGGTGAGACTGCACGGGTGGGTTGCCCATTTAACTGGTTTCACAGAGAGTAATCAACATATTTTGATAAGATAGCTTTAGACAGTTGGGCACACTGAGTCACCTGCTTCCGCCACTTATGGCCTCGAATATGTCATACCCTGGAGTCCACAAACAACAAAGAAGGAAGTGTCCCAGTGCACCCATAACAAAGACCATCTGTGACCTAGTGTTGACCGGTCACAGAATGGGAACAATAACATTATGGCTGAAGCAGCCTATGTCCTTAAAGGAGATAAACAGACGTCAGGGTTGGTCCTGTACGTCATATCTAGGAGTCTAGGACAATTATTTCCCTAACAGAAGAAGTATTCAGATCTTGTACTTGAGTAAAAGTAGAAATACCAGTGTAGTGTAGTAATACTCTCTTAAGTGAAAGTTGTGCAATAAAAACATTTCAAAAATGTTGATGTATTGATGTGTTAATCTAAGTCTTTGTATGCTGCTCTATATCTGCAAAGTGACTAAAGGCAAGGCAAGTTTATTTATATAGCACTTTTCAACACAAGGCAATTCAAAGTGCTTTACAAAAAATGAAAGACATTAAGAAAAAGGCATTTAAAATCAGTCATTAAAAAGAAAAGCTAATAAAATAAACATTAAAAGAAAAAGTACATGGATAAAAGTTACAGTGCAGTCTAAGATATGAATAGTTCAATTAAAAGCAGCGACAAAAAGAAAAGTCTTCAGCCTGGATTTAAAAGTAGTCAGAGTTGCAGCGGACCTGCAGGTTTCTGGGAGTTTGTTCCAGATATTTGGAGCATAATAACTGAACGCTGCTTCTCCATGTTTAGTTCTGACTCTGGGGACAGAAAGCTGACCAGTCCCTGAAGACCTGAGAGATCTGGATGGTTCATCATTTAGCAGGAGGTCAGAAATGTATTTTGGGCCTAAACCATTCAGTGCTTTATAAACCAGCAGCAGTATTTTGAAATCTATTCTTTGACACACAGGAAGCCAGTGTAAAGACTTCAGAACAGGAGTGATGTGATCCACTTTCTTAGTGTTAGTGAGGACTCGAGCAGCGGCGTTCTGAATTAGCTGCAGCTTCATAATAGATTTTTTAGTGAGACCTGTGAAGACACCATTACAGTAGTCGAGTCTACTGAAGATAAAAGCATGGACAAGTTTTTCCAAATCCTGCTGTGACATTAGTCTTTTAATCCTAGATATATTCTTTAGGTGATAGTAGGCTGATTTAGTAACTGTTTTAATGTGACTGTTGAAACTCAGGTCAGAGTCCATGACTACACCTAGATTTCTGGCTTTATCTGTTGTTTTGAACATTGCACACTGAAGCTCAGCGCTAACTTGTATACGTTCTGCCTTGGCTCCAAAAACCATTACCTCAGTTTTATCTTTGTTTAATTGGAGAAAGTTCTGACACATCCAGTCATTGATTTGTTCAATGCACTTACTCAGTGTTTGAATTGGAGCATAGTCTCCTGGTGAAATTGTTACGTAAATGTGTGTGTCATCTGCATAGCTACACTGTAAAAATATCCACCGTGAATTCACAATAATTACCTGGCAACTTGTTGCATGACTTTCACAGTAAGGTTCACAGCAATTTACTGTGAATGTCTTCACAGCGATGTATTGTAATTTCACATCCATGATATTACAATGCATTGTTGTAAAGGTACAACTGTATACTGTAACTTCACAGCTTCAATTACTGTGATATTACAGTATGTTACTGGGGAATTACATCATTTTGTTGTACATTAATTACAACAAGGGCCTGTACTTTTACATTTCTATTGTGAAAGTACTGCAGGAGTAGCCAGTAATTTACTGTGAATTTACAATGTGTACTGTGAAAGTACTGCAGGAGTAGCCAGTAATTTACAATGATACACGTGCATAACTGTAATTCCCAGCTCCAGTACTTCCTGGAGGAAGCTCATACAATGGTTTCCTGTCCAAGTTTAACAGGAAACCAAAGTGTGAGCTTCCTCCTGGAAGTACTGGAGCTGCACTATAAAAATGCACGTAATGTTATTGTACAATTAAAAACAACACACCAAACGCACAAATGAGGTAAAATCAATGGAAGCCCACTGGCATATTTATTGACAAAATAAACAACAGAGTAAACAAACAGGAACATGAACTAGTTCACCTCAACTATCCATAAAAAACAGATGAACCCTTAACGGATCCTTTAAACAAATAATCCCTCGCAGGTGAACTGACCGTAATGCTTCCCACTAAACTTGTCCCTGCACACCATGCAGTCTATGCAGACCATTCCAAGTCTATCAGCTTCCGGTGAAGGGTGCTCACGTGAGGGTTAATGGAGCTTCGCTTCTTTGCCTTGGAGCCTTTCTCCGGGTTGATGCCCAAGAAGCATCTGTTAATAAGCAAAGATAAGTTTCAGTTTTAAATACACTCATGTATTGCAGGCAGCATTTATCAAGGTGTTCACCTGTCTTTTCCCACACCGACTGTTACTAGTACAAACCTGTTGGATCATCCTCTCACAATAACATTATTTGTAGCCTAGCAGAGTGCCTCAGGTACCTCTAACATAAGGTTTACTTACTTATCTGAATTTTGAAGCCATACTATATTGTGAATTAAACCATTATGTCAATTTTTTAACAAGCTAGCCCAGCAACATCAAGTGATGGTGTGGTCCCAATTCGCATATTTGGTTCCAGGCTTCATACTCAAAGCATTTAATCTACTTTATAGCCTCTGTAGAAAGGCATGGACTTAATAGCAAGATAGTGAAACACAAATTTGCATGACAAGTCTTACTGATGACATTGATCATGTGTTTGAGTGTTACAATACCTTTGGATGAACTCCAGTGTGCATGATCCAACGGGATATTTGAGGTTGAAGACATAGTAGCTGCTGAATAAAGCAGCTAGCCCATGCAAAAAAAATGGGTGTGGGCCCATTACCACTTGTCCCTCGATGGATAGCATCCACCCAGAAGGCTTCATTGTGTCACCTGAAATGAACAGATACCCCGTCATGCGTTATTGTGGATAGGTACATTCCTAGAATCAATCAAAAATAATACTTGAGCTAGAGATGTCAATACCAGATCCGAGTAACATTCATGATTGGCCAAGGACCAAAAAGCAGGAAAATATACAGTGCAGAGCATGCAAGGACATGACACAGAACCCTCCAGGTGGACAGCACTTTTCTACTCCACCATCAGTGAGGTAGGCTACTTAACAGTCACTGTAAAAGCATCAAAGGTGTTTGTGCAGATAGGAGAATCTGGCTGAACGACAAAGCAACTCCCTAGCCCTCCTCCCTCTGCCTTTATGGATAGACGGTTTAACCTCATTCCTCTATGGGTAGATGGTTACGAGCCCAGCTAGAACGAGAACATGTCAACTCGTCAGACCCCTGAATCATTGAAACAGGCTATAGATTTTAACTAACGCGAATCGCTGAAACATATGGCGTCAGAGTATCGTAAGTGTCGTTTCACAGACTGGACTTTAATGGAGTGCAGGAGAGATGGAAGGCCTTCAGTCAGATTCTCCCCTTGATGCAAAGGAACACTTAAGCTCTTTAGAGTAACTATTCAGTATCCTATACCTCATCGATGGTGGAGCAGAACAGGGATGTCCTAAGAGAAATTATATAACTAGAATAAAAGCAGCAGTGAAGTCTAGCCATTCAGGTCAGAAAAGCAGGAAATCCTGTATAAACAGGAACAATCCCATCCCTGAACATTACATTACCTTGAATGATCAAGCAGGGGGTGCTTGGGAGTGCTGCAGTATTCACTACATCAGCAGCAGTGGCACAGGTCTGTAACAAAGTAACACACAATAGCATAGATTTAACATTATGCAAGGATGAAGATCGTTCATTGGTCAGAGGTAAATCAGAACATAATAAATGGTCTAATAATAATAATAATTACTTGCATTTATATAGCGCTTTTCAAGACACCCAAAGCGCTTACAAATGGACGTCCGCAAACCAATGTGTAGCCCCCGCCTGGGTGATGCTAAGGCAACAGCTAATCCGCGCACTACAGCTCAACACAGATCAGCTCGGCCCATTTGGAGCAACTTGGGGGTTAAGTGTCTTGTTCAAGGACACTTCCGACATGCGGACAGTCAGAGCCAGGATTCGAACCACCAACCCTACGGTCGATGAACGACCAGCTCTACCAACTGAGCTTCAGTTGCCCCTAATGTAATCACTCGTTTAGCATTTTAAATATTTAAATAAATTAAAAAAAACTTACATCAACTTCGAGCATCAGTTTCTCCGTAGGCTCCTTAAAGTAGACCATAAGGAGCTGGAGGATGCAGGCAGCCTTCTCCGAACCCTCTGGATCATAGCTGGCCAGAAATTCCCTGATCTTCGGGTTGTCCAGTTTCTGACAGAAATGCAGGATGGTCTGTCCTCTCTGACCCAGGGCCTCTTGGAGCTTCTGAAGTATGTTGACGTCCGTCAGGATGCCAAAGTGGGAGAAAAGGCCTCTCTGAGAAAAGAGAAAAGGCCATTCCTCTTTGACCTCAAACATCGCTGGTGCAGGCATTCCGTTGAGGTACCTCCGCAGGATGATGTAGGTCCTCACCATCAGAGGTTCTGCTCTCTCTGCCCCACCCATCCCTTCCTCTGTGTACAGACATACAAATACATGTTTGAGAGTACCCAAGTAACAACAATTAAATTCAATGTCCCCACCTCTGGAACATTTTGAGTGTCAAACCTTTAATTTCATGCTCTCATCATTACTCATTCTGAATATTAAGGTGGCCTTTTTGCTTAATGTGGGATGTTTATTCAGGTGTCAATTCACCAAAAATAAGGTAGATTGCATGCCTGAGTAGATCTTCCGCAGATCCCTTTTCGAATCCTCCAACGTTGCCTCGGTCTCCCCCTCTGGTAACTCTGCTGGGCACCACCTCACACACCTAGGGATAGGAATCATAGGTTAAATCAATACTATTGGGGCCGATCATTTGGACTGGTTTTGGAGTGGGAACATTTCAATTATCATGACAGTTACACTGACGGCGATTATACAAAATCTACACATAATTTAAACATTCAATTCAAATAACCTAAGTTAGTCTAGCATGGCGGTGCCCCTTTAACCCCTGTGCCTTGCATGGTTGCTGATCGCCATTAGTGTGTGAGTGTGAATGGAGAGGACACTGCCACTGTATGTTCGCCGCTTCTCAGTGTGTGAATGAGAAGACCATTGTAAAGCACTGGGTGTCCTGAAAAGAGCTATGTAAATGCAAGGAATTATTATTACTGTAATCTTCAAAACCTTCAACGTACAATAATTGCAATATCTATATTTTGTCCACCCCTACACATACCCGTATTGGTCGACAGGACCTCTCGTCAGTCTGGACTCTCCTGCTACTCCAGTGTTCCTTCTTCCCTCTCGGCTTCGTCGGCGTCGAGCCAGAGTGTTGTTCCTAGTTTTATATTCCACTCTAGTTTTAACTTGTTGGAGAAGAGAGGGGCATTTTACATAACATGTAAGGTTATGTAAAAAAAAGGGTTTCGTTCACAACTAATGGCACTTCTGGTTCATCATCATGTTCACCAGCAGCTTCTGAAGATGACTGAATGGGTTCTGGCAATGACTCTGTAGTAATAGACTTGTCTAGTACCAAGTCATCTAAAACTGAATCCTCTGCATGCCTATGTTTCCTGTTAATATGTGAAGCAAAAGTCATCACGTTTGTGAACCTGCAATCACAACCTCTAAATGGGCATTTAGTTTCCATTCCTCCCCTTACGTGTGTCTTCAAATGCTTAATAAGAGAGGCTAAAGTGTCACACTTAAATGCACAAGCCTCAAGCACACATTTCAAGGATGTGTCAGGTGGTAGAGCTGATATGTCAGGCGGTATAGGCCGAGCAGCTTGCAGGTAGCACTTATGCAGCCTATATATATGCGATTTCAGTGCTGTGTGTTTTCTGTACCTCCGTGAGCAATCAGACACCCCACACTGATAGTGAAAATTGGGGGCATTACTGTGCAGCTTTGTGTGCTGAACAAAGTTATGCACCTTCTCAGACACATGCTGACATCCAATATATTTACAGTGGAACATTGTTGTGCGTGGTAACTAGTTACCTACCCAAACATAATTCAATCTGCCTGGCACTGAAGAGGACGGTTAGCCTGGCTGCCTGACACTGAAGAGGATGGTTGGCCTCTCTGATGACCTAGAAAAAAGGAGACCAGAGAAAGGAGAAATTACAAAGGCAACCAACAAAAGGAATTTTTCAGTTTGCATGCAGATTATGAACATGAGCATGTTGTAAAGGTGTTCAAGGTCAGGTAGTCGAGCATCCCATTTAGACGAGACAGCAGTCACAATCATATCGAAATGTTAACTACCTTAGCTGCAACAACACTCGAACAGTCACTAGCAATTTCCTCGAGGATGGCGCACGCACACCAGGATCACGAGGATGTCAAATCTGGAATAGAGGCAGTAAAAAACCACCACAGGGAAGCAAGAGAGGTAAGCTCACATAAATGTACTGTCAAACAGTATTGGATGAAGTGATTAATCTCAGGTGTGCTGCACAGGTAACAAATGTCTGAGCTTCAGTACTTCATGGAGGGAAGCACTGGAGCTGGGGACTGCAGTTATGCACAGTCTATAAACTACGGTCTGTGTTGCATACTAGGCCTACCTCCAACTAGGAAGCAATCCGTGGATTGGATTTAGGCAATACACCTCGTCGCGTCGGTCAACACCAGGCAGGCAATCAGTAGGCCTAGAGCAAGATACAAGATCTGTTTATTCGCCATGTAGTTTTACAACATACTAGAAATGTGTTGCTGGTAGGTACTGACATAAAGACAACATTGGACAGGGTGCAGGGACAAGACAGGACAAGTGCAAAACAGGACAGTGTACAAAATGCAGGTAAAAGTAGAAGCTAATTTAGGCTAGAATAGTATAGAAGTAAAATAAGATTTAAAAAAATTGTGTTTTCAGAGAAATAACATTACGCATTGCAATAACCTATAAACATTTCAAACCTATAAACATTGCGAATCTGTAAACATTGTGAAGAGGCAAGAGAGTTTGGTAATCCTTTATCATCCAGAGTAGTGTTGATGAAAGTATTGAGTGATTGAAACTTTGCTCGCCACAGGGTGGCGTCTGTAACGCACATATTAACATAGATACGCTCCTCTGAAATGATTGTCCCCTGCAATTATTATTATCCCTCAATCGAGATCGCTATTCAGCTTGCTAACGTTAGCTTAAACAAACGTAACATGCAACGTTAGCCTAATCTAAAATGCTCTACTATGGCGTACCTTTCATGTGGCTCGTCAGCGCAGACTCTCGCATCGTTATTTTTGCAAACTTTGCAGGAGGCTACTCGTGGGCTTGACCCTCGTCTTAGCCATGGCTTGTATTTGTCTTCTGCTAGCCAACGCTCATTGAAACTGCAACCTCCTGGCACACAGTCATCTATCACTCTCATCAGAATGCCCAGGTCACACGTGACGTAAAACAAACACTTGCAGGTCGCGGGCATAGCGCGGGAAGTCCGCAGCGGAGCCGTTTTATGTAGAAGCGAAGCAATTCTTTTCTTTTAATCTAAAAAGCGAACTATTCAGTCAGACAGCAATTTATTGTAAAAGTAAAGCATTTACATTTTCAAGCACTTTCCTAACCTTGAAAACAACACGTCAAATGTCAAGCATTTTCAAGGATTTCAAGCACCCGTACGAACCCTGAGAAGTACAGTTAAAACCTTAACGATCCGAATAATCGATGAATCGATTATCAAATTAGTCGTGTGTTGCAGCCCTAGTGATGACACGTGGTGACACCAATGTGCAATAGGGTCTGTGACGAATTCATTAAGAACATTGTAAGAGCAACTAACGTTACCAACTTTGACACCGATTTAGATTAGGTCTAATTTGATTAGACAATGTCATGAAACCACCAAGCACCTAGCACAAGAAACATTCATTAGCTAGCTAACATCAGCTAACCTACTAGTAAGTTAGTTAGACCATGGCGTCAGAATTCAAACTTAGCAGCAATGCTAAGCTAACTAGCTTATACCAATGGCAATTATACCAGTCTTACCGGTTAAAGTATTCATTGTTCGCTCTTTCATTCGAATACAGCATAAGCCTTCTGCCAACAAATGGAACAGTCAGCAACAGTTGGCTGGCTAGCACCAGAGCCATCTACCATAGCCATATACGGCGCTGGCTAGCACTAGCTAGGCTAACGTTAAGGCCACCTGCTTGAAGGTGGACATGGCTGCTACCAAGCTAATGTTACTAGCTAACGCTAGCTATCTATTCGCTACCATGTACAAACCAACACGACACTACTCCACTGGCGTTCACAATCGAAAGCACATAATATCCACCACTAATCCACATTATGGGCAGTACTTACTTGCTGTTTACCGATGTTAACCGCTTTGGAGAAACTCACAGATGTTCACCTTGACTGTTGCCTCCGTGCGAATTTTCGAAAGGATCGAGGCATCTCTGTTAGGAGGCTTTGGGTTCCTCAATGCGCGATATGATTGGCCGTTCGAGCGATGACGTTCCGTTTCGTCCCTTCAAACGTGACACCTACGGTTAACAGGCAACCCAGTGGACAAATACCCAGAAATGACGTTTTTTCTGGCGTGTATGTCACGTGATCTTCAACTTTCGCAGCAGAATAAAATAAATATAAATATATCAGCAATTAAACAACATATTCCATTTCTTTTCACACAATACGTCTCCTTTCAGTATCAACACTAATTCGGCTGACTTATATATTTGATCCAATTGGTAGATAGGGACACCTAGTGGTTAAAGCACGTTATTGAAATGTTTTGTTGAATAATCTTTAATCTTTAATAACCTGACTTTGGAAAGGGCTGGAAATATACTTTTTTCACCAGGGGCCTCTAAATAGGGCCCAGATAAGAAATATGAAATATGGGAACCGTAACTCACCCAGAAATTGTTTTTTTCAATCTAATGTCAAACTCTCACAAAATCCTGTCTAGAGCTAAGGATTGGACACCCTTTGGTGAGGGAGGGAGAGAAAATTGAAAAAAATTGAAAAAAGGTGCTTGGCGCTTCGAGACTTTGAGAGTGTGTTGCTTCACTTGTGTGGAACCCGCTTGCAAAATTTGGGGCCGCGGTGACCTTCAACCAAGTCTCAAACTAAGGTTAAAGGTCATGTTTTCATGGCTCTCAGTACTCTAGATGGCACAAAGGAAGGTCCGACAGCTTTGAGCTTGGTGTCGTTGGAATCGCCTCGAAGAGTACATGCAGATTCATCCCTCTGCTGCTCCGAATGTCAAACGTTACGGCTTAAAACGGGACAAAGCCTTCCATTATGCCGCTTTCACTCTCGCTCTTGTGGTGACAGAGCACGCCAATTTTCCCGCATGCTAGGCAGACAAGAGTATTCTAGTTAGCTTTGGTTTGATGTGGAGATGTGATTTGATGTGTCGTTTGTCCCCCAACTCCTCTCCAAAGTTGAGATATGTAATAAAATACTCAGGGGAGTTTCCTGAATTTTCATGCCGAAAGCCAAGCACTAGGCCCTGGGTAAATTAAGACGCTGATTTGGGGCACTTTTTCCACTTTCCCTGGTGCTAGAAACTCAAGTCAGGCATCCCTGGAATCGTTGTAAAAATACATTTCTAGCTAAACGTAATTGAGAATGCAGTTTAGTTCTGTGGGAACGTAATTTTTAGGAGACAGGGTTGCCAGGACACACGCCGATTAGAATAGTCTATTCTGCACATGTGCAATAGTGCACAATTCAAATTTTACAGTAATGAGTTGTGCTCTTTATATACAGTCTATCATGGTTGTGCTAAGATGATTTTGAGTACAGTGCTTTACTGTGAAATAATAGTTAAATAATGTGAAATCCAATTCTACTGTTTTATAGATATTTTGTTGTGATATTACAGGGGCTTTTGATTACAATATTTCTCTGTAATATGATACTCTTAAATGCTGTGAAATCCTTGCAATTTTTACAATGTTGTTGTGATATTACAACATTTGATGTGATATTACAGAGGATTTTGATTGCAGTATTTTATTGTGAAATAATAGTTAAATGCTGTGAAATCACAAGGATACAGTCCTTTTTACATGTATTTGTTGGGATATTACAGGGGGCCTTGATTACAATATGTCACTGTAAAATAATACTGTTAAATGTTGTGAAATGCTGGTAATTGTTTACAGTGTATGGTAACTTATTTTGTTGTTTTTCATTATCTGAGCCAGTGGTAGCATGTAGATGTTAAAGAGAAGAGGCCCCAAGATGGAGCCTTGAGGAACCCCACATGTCATATTTGTCAACTCAGATGTGTATTTACCTATAGAAACAAAGTTGTTTCTGTCCTTTAAGTAGGATTCAAACCAATTTAGAACTGTTTCCGAAAGTCCCACCCAGTTTTCCAGTCGGTCTAGTAATATGTTGTGGTCAACAGTGTCAAACGCAGCACTGAAATCTAATAATACTAACACTGAAGTTCTGCCACTGTCTGTGTTTAAGTGGATGTCATTAAAGACCTTTACAAGAGCAGTCAGTGCTGTGGTTTGGACGAAAGCCTGACTGGAACACATCAAAACAGTTATTTAAATGCAAGAAATTACTCAACTGTTGAAAAACAACTTTTTCAATGATTTTACCTAGAAAAGGTATTAAATGAATTAATATTCTGAAATGGACCAATGAGTACTTTTACTTTTGGTACTTTAGGGATATTTTGATGCTAATACTTCTGTACTTTTACTTAAAGTGGACCTATCATGCTATAATTGAACAATATATTGTAGGGCCATACCTATATAAAGTATATAAATATAGTTTTTTTTTCAAAATACCAAGCAGATCCTGCATTTGAGCCATGCCTCATTTCGCTCCATTTGCTCTTTCCAGCCCTGTTTTTGCAGGGGGCTGATTATGTGAGCTGCAGCTGACCACGCTTTGAGATCAGCTACTGGGCTGTCAGAAGAGGGGGAGAAAAAGAGATCTCCGTCCTCCGTGTTTTATTCTTATATGATTGTTTGAAATTTAGAGTCATTATTCATTTGTTTTAAAGCTCAATAAATAACAAAGACCTTTGACCGGCACT